TCTACTGCCTCACTTTCCTCAGCAGCTGAGAGTAATAGGCTTGCATCATTGGGCCCAGCTCCCATGTGCAGTTTATTATTATACATGAATTACATCCCAGTGAAGCTGTGCAAAAAAAAAAAAAAAAAAAAAAAAAGAGCACAATCAGTCAGGCATGGAGGTGCATACCTTTAATCCCAGCACTCAGGATTCAGAGGCAGGTAGATTTCTGTGAGTTTAAAGTCAGCCTGGTCTACATAGCAAGTTCTAGGCCAGTTGGGTCAACAGGGAGACCCTGTTTCAAAATGACCGAAAAAAAAAAAAAATTGCGATCAGCCAAGTGTGGTGGCACATGCCTGTATTCCCAGTACTTGGGAGGTGAAGGCAGGTCATCCTTGGCTACTTGGAAAATTTGAGGCTATCCTGGACTACCCTGTCTCAAAAAGCAAAAACAAAGAAACAAAAAACAGAAAAAGAAGCATTATGAAATACACATGTGCAGTTTAATAAGTGATTATAAAATGAAGACAGATGATTCAAGAAACACTTCTTGGATAGGAGAGCGATCTGTCTGCGACATCTGTCATCCCATTGATCGCCAGGGTTGATTGGACTGATCTAGATGGCCAGGCAGGTGTCCCCTTCTTCCCTCAACATTTCCCATGTATCCCTCCCAAAGCTTTGTGCTCAGAGAGGACTACCTTCCCTGATAGAGGAGGACTGGTCTTTGGTCAAGGGTATATGAGTAGCTGCTCTCCCCTGCTAGAACCTCAAAACAAGCTGTCAAGAAATACTTCTCAGGGCCTGGTGAAATGGATGTGCCTATAAAGGTGCTTACTACCAAGCCTGACAACTTGCATAGCAACCCTTGTCCAACATGGTATAAGGAGAACTGAGTCCTACAAGTTGTCTTCTGACCTACACACACACACACACACACACACACACACACACACACACAAATAGATAAGTAGAAAGAACTGCTCAGCAGAGCTTGGTGGTACATGCATGCAATCCCAGTACTTAGAAGGATGAGATGAGCTATAGAGCAAGTACCAGGGTAGCGAGTGCTGGATAGCAAGAACTTGTTCCAAACAAACACACAAGAAAGGAAAGAAAGAAGAAAGGCAGAAAACTGCCATCAAGAGGCTCTGGCCTCCCTCCCCAGCTCACTGCCACTTTTGCTGTTGCTGCCCTTCTCCCAGACTCCCCTCACCTCTCTCCCTGACTACCTGCAATCTCCTACGTGGGCCTCCCTGGCAGTCTCCCCGCAGCCTTCTCAACACAGCTGCAGGAATGTTTCCTTTTAGAGAACAAGTCATGTCGTGTCCTGATTCTGTTTGTGATCCAGCCATCATTCCCCATGTCATCAGAATGAAAGCTCTTCCTTCTGTATCTTTGTGCCAGTCACCTGGCCTCACAACTGTTCTCTGAACAAGAATCACCAGACAAGTGCCTTCCTTAGGGCCTTTGCTCTCTAGCCTGTTCCTCCATTCAGAATGTTCCCCTCAGCCACTTACCTGCTCCTTTACCTTTGTTTTGAGGCAGGGTCTTACTATGTAGCCCTGGCTGACCTGGAACTCAATGTGTATTCCAGACTGGTCTAGAACTTACTGTGCTCCTCCTGAATCTGTCTCCCAAGGGCTGGAATTACAGGCATGAGTCACCAGGCCTGACTATCTCCACTTTCTGATAATACTCTGTATTTACTTTATGGAGATTTTTATAGTCTGTTTCCCTAATAAACTATAAACTATACAAGAGTGAGCATCTTTACTTGTCACGTTCACTATTGTTGAGGTTTTTTCCTTTTTCTTGTTTTTTTGAGCTTGTGGACAATTTTATTAAAATGTAAAAGAAAAATCTCGGGGCTAGAGAGATGGCTCAGTGGTTAAGAGCACTGACTGCTCTTGCAGAGGACATGGGTTTGATTCCCAGCAGCCACAAGGCAGCTACGGACCATCCTTAACTCCAGTTCCAGGGGACTCCAAAGCCCTCTTCTGGCCTCCGTGGCATTTCACGACACGGGTGCACTCACATACATGCAGGCAATACACACATACACATAAAATAAAAATAATAAATAAAATATATGTAAAAAACGGAAAACCTCAGGGCAGGCAAGCTACTTGTTTATCTTGGCAGCGGACAAGAGGAAGGAGATAGAGAAATAGAGAAAAAGCTGCCCCATTTGAGTTAAGCCAGCATAGAGGTGAGCTACATGGTGGGCAAGCAGCCATATGTCCAGGACAGGAGTTTTAGAGAAAGAGTGAATAAAGCCCATATATCAGAAGAAGCACACTTTGACTCTGGCCAACATTCAAAAGAAAAGACAGCAGAGACAAAAAAGGCAGACCCAACGGAGTTTTATCTTGGCTCCTAGCAACTGTCATTTGTTTCAGGTTTTTTTTTTTTGCGACAGGGCCTATCTACATAACCCAGGCTGTCTTGGAATTCGTGATCCTCCTGCCTTAATGAGAGAATAGTTGCTAGCCATATTTTTAGACAGGCAGATAGACAGGGAAAGGGCCACTGATACCTAATAAAGATGGTATATGTCCATCTTCTTGATCTGAGACAATGACTTGGATTCTCTTTCTGGCCAACTGGTTCAAACCAGTTGAGGTAAGACCAAGGCCAGACAAGGACACCTCATCATATGAAGCCATAAACTTATCAGCTGTCTCTTCTTTGTTTAAGCTGACCAATCCAAAATTAGAGGAGGGAAACTCACTAAGACCCTTAAAAACATATGACCCTCTATGGGGGTTTTCTGAGTCACCTCTCCACTTGTAAAGGCCTTCTCTCTGTGTAAATGTGTGTATGTATCTGAATCTTCATCTGTCAATAAAGTTTGTTTGTTGCTCTCTGCTGGTCTTGAGATTTTTTTTTTCCTGCCTTTTAATACTTTAGTTGGCTGGAAAAACAAAAACAAACAAACAAAAAACCTTAGATGGTGACCATCTTTGATCCCATGCTGGTAACATCAGCTTCCTGAGTGTTGGGATTACAGGCTTGTGCCATCCACCCTGTCTCGACTGTTGTTGATTTTTTAATTTGTATTTTTCTAATGAGCCTAGAGATGTTGAGAATTCTTTCACGTGCTAATTAGCATATTCGATATATCTCCACTCAATTATTCACATCTTTTTTTTTTTCTTTTTTGTCTTTTTGAGAAGGGGTCTCCCTGTAGCCCCATCTGGCCAGGAACTCACAATGTAGACCAGGCTGACCTAGAACTCACAGAGATCCACCTGCCTCTGCCTCCGAGGTGCTGGGATTACAGGTGTGCACCACCATGCCTGGCTTATTCATGTCTTTTAGTTGTATCTTATTTGAGCTATTATTTTATATATTGTAGGATAATTTCTATCACATTGATAGTACTCAATAAATTGTTTTGTTTGTTGGTTGGCTGGCTGGTTTGTAGGTGGGTTTATGGAGACAGGACCTCACACTATAGTGTAGTTTGGTCTCAAACTCAAGGCAAGCCTTCTGCCTCAGTCTCTGGGGTGCTGGGTTATAGGTGAAAACCCCACCCTGTGTCCCTTCTGTCTTCTGCACACTACTCTGCTTTTGAGTCATCCATGTTGTTGCATGCAGCTGCAGTTCATTTCTTTTTCCTGTTGCAACTACAGTCATCCATCCCCTGCTGAAGAATAGCTGGGTCCCTTCCAGTTTGGGGGCACATCAAATTGTGCTGTCGAGACATCACGTGTTTCCTGGCACAAGGGTGTGTGACTTTCTAGGGATCGTACACTTAGGAGTGGACCCGCAGGGTCTTAGGGGTTAGGATTCTTCAGTTTAACCAAGTAGTAACAAATAGTCTCCAGAAGAGCTGCTCAAATTACCCTCCATCTACAGTAATCTCCTCTTTGGGCCTTAGTTGAGGGCATTGGGTGTCTAGCTTTATCATCCTTTGTTTTATTCCCTTGAGACAGGGTCTCTAACTGAACCTGGAGTTAGGCTGGCAGCCTAACTGGGGTTACAGACACACGTGCCCATATCCCACTTTTTACATGAGTGCTGGGGATTCGAACCCAAGTCCCCATGCTTGCTCAGCAAGCACTCTTACCCACTGAGCCATCTCTCCATCCTTCAATAGTTGGATTTCTAAGTCTCTTTTGTTCTGATAGTCTCCTCAAGGAGTCCTGAAGAAGCAGCACGTGGGAGTGAGCATCCTTGAGGGAGTATGTTAGAGTATAGAGGTTTGACACACCCACCACAGGTTCATGTGTTGGAGGCATGGTCCCCAGCTGGCTGAACTGTTTTATGAGGTGTCAGAAACTTGGATGTAAGACCTAGTTGGAGGAAGTAAATCTTCAGTAATACACTTTTTCCTTATATCGCCTCACCTCACCTCACCTGGTCCTACCCTGGCCTTGGCCTCACCTTGGTTTCTTCTTGGCTACTACAAATTGAAAAGCCTCTGCTATCCATTCCTGCTGCCATGTTATTCTGCCTTTACCTCAGGCCCAGGGCAATATATTCAGCTAATCTTGGACCAAAGCCTCGGAAACAATGAGTCAAGACAAGTCTCTCTTCCTTTAAAGTGTTTCAGGTATTTGTCACAGCAAGGAAGAATCTATATTTTGAGGAAGACAGATAAAAGCAATCCTGGTCTACATAGTGAGTTCCAGGCCAGCTGGGGCTGCAGGGAAACCCTGTCTCAAAAAAAAGTTTTAATTCTTTTTTTAAGACGAACAATACAGTTTATTACTTATTAAGTACCAGCTTAAAACTGCAGAATTTTAAATCACCCTGACAGCCTACTTCCCACCCCCCACTAGAATTCTTGATCAAGAGTTTTTTCAAGTAAGGAGCACTCTCTTCTCTCTTCCATAGGGAACTGTATGAAACAAAGGCAGAGGACTGTGTACATCCTGCTGTCAAGCTAAGACGAACAATACAGTTTATTACTTATTAAGTACCAGCTTAAAACTGCAGAATTTTAAATCACCCTGACAGCCTACTTCCCACCCCCCACTAGAATTCTTGATCAAGAGTTTTTTCAAGTAAGGAGCACTCTCTTCTCTCTTCCATAGGGAACTGTATGAAACAAAGGCAGAGGACTGTGTACATCCTGCTGTCAAGCAGTGCTGCTCAGGCTTCCTTCACTGCCCAGGTCCTGAAAGACTCTTGTTCATGAACTGTCTCTTCACAAAGCAAGTCCACCACTTGCTGGGTTTATCGTTCTGAGGGTCAAAAACTTTGTCACAAAGTCTCAGTCCAGTCTCTTGCCTCAGCTGCTGGAGGTACGCTCGCATCACTTCATCTTCCTGTTTGTTTGCAGGTTTGGCATAAATTGCATTGAGGGGAAAGCCGGGCTCTCCAGGAATGGGAAAGTTCATGATTCCCAGTGTGTACATTTCTTTCTCACCTTGGCTTTTGGAATTGCACTTTTGGAGTTTCTTTAGACACTCAGAAATGTAGAGAGTGATATAGATCAAGGTCCTGTCGGCTTCATTCTTGATTTCGTAGTTTTTGAAGAAGACATTGGCCTTGAAGTAATAGATGGCTTCATCCACAATATCTGTATCTTTTGTTTCTCGAGGAGCGGGTCCTTTGAACTGACTTCTGATGGGCAACAGTGCTATGTTTCCAATGAGTTTGGTATCTGGGTCCATGAGAGTAGAGTGGTAGGCCGGCATCCTGGCAGCATTCCGGTTTCAACCCGAAGCAACAGCATTTCCCTCTTTACATTTTTTAACAAATTATTTTAATTAATTTATTATTATTGGGTGCATGCATATGGTGGGTGTGTATGTGCCCATGCCACAGCACATTTGTGGAGATTAGAGATCAACTTTGTGGAGATGATTCTGTCCTTCTACCTTTATGTGAGTTCTGGGATTGAACATGGGAGTCAAGCTTGCATGACACATGCTTTTACCCATAGAGCCATCTCTCTGGTCCCATCCTAAACTCTTTTTTAAAATTTTATTTATCATTTTTATTTTATGTGTATGAGTGTTATGCCTGCATGTAGGTAAGTGCACCCATGTCATGCAATGCCCATGTAGGACAGAAGAGGCTATCGGGGGATCCCCTGGAACTGGAGTTATGGACAGTTGTTAGCTGCCATGGGATTCGAACCTGGGTCTTCTACAAGAACAGTGCTTGTTTTTTTGGTCTTTTTGAGGCAGAGTCTCCCTGTAGCCCCAGATGGCCTGGAACTCACTATGTAGACCAGGCTGGCCGTGAACTCACAGAGATCTGCCTGCCTCTGCCTCCCGAGTGCTGGGATTAAAGGCATGCGTCACCATGCCTGGCTAAAGAACAGTGTTCTTAACCGCTGAGCCTTCTCTCCAGCCCCCATCCTAAACTCTTAAGAGTGGATGTTGGGTAGCAACTTTGGCCTTGACACCATGACCTCTGCCTACCCTTGAGAGAATTTCCAAACAGGGAAAATGAAACAAGGAAATAATAAGCAAAAATAATATACTTGTTCTGAGATATAAAAGTCAGGGTGAGTGATCTGTGTGAATTGGAGCAGCTCAGCAGGTTCTTCATGAAAGAGGAGAGAATGTCACAGGATCACATCTGGTGTGGACAAGATGGTGGCAGAGAGTGAGAGTACATGGGGGTGATGCAGGGAAAGACCAGCCTGGTGGAGGATCTGGAGACGCTATTCCCTGAGCACGGAGGTTGCATTGCCTGAGGGATAGCTGTGTTTGGGGAAGCTGAGAGGATCTTCACTTTAGCTCCCTGGAGTGAAAAGCCATTATCAGACAAGGAGGTGGATCTCTGGCTGCTTCCTCAGAGGGAAGCCTCTTCAGGACACAGGGGTCCTTGGCTACAATGGGAAGCTGTTCAATACTGGGCAAAAGTGGGTGGTGCAGTAGTTAGAATCACCCCAGCTCTGCACAGGGTGAATCTTGGTGCATCTTTGCTGGAAGGCTCACATCCAGCTATCTCAAGGACAGAGGTGGTTAAGGACCCTCCTGGCTACATCTCTTTCTTTATTCTTCTCCAGCAACCCCCCCTCCCCGTGACTTAGATATCTCAGGCTGTCCTTGAACTGGATGCCTACAAAGAGGAATATCTTCAATACCTGATCCCCTTACCTTGACCTATGGAGTGCTGAGATTATAAGCATGCTGCTGTACCACACCTGGTGTATTCAGTGCTGGGGATCAAACCTAGGGCTTTGTGAATACTAGGCAAGCACTCTACCTACTGAGCTACATCCCAGCCCTCATTTTTTGTTTCTTTGTTGACACAGGCTGGCCTTGAACTCCTGCTGCCTCTACCTCCCAAGTTCTGGGATTACAGGTGCATTCTGCCGTGTCCAGATTGCCCTTCCTTCCTTCCTTTTTTTTTTTTTTTTTTTTTTTTGGAAATAAGGTCTCCCTATAGTCCTGGCTGGCTTGGAACTTACTATGTAGACCAGGCTGGCCTCAAACTCACAGAGATATGCTTGCCTCTGCCCCCTAAGTGCTGGAATTAAAGGTGTGCAACATGGCCAGCTTTCTTTCTTTCTATGAATTAATTAATTAATTAATTTAGTATTGTGTGTGTATGTGCTGGATAGCTTTAGTGTCAACTTGACACACCTGGGTTGAGGGAGCCTCAATTGGAGAATTGCCTCTATTGGATTGGCCTGTGGCCATGTCTGAGGGGCAGTTTCTTGATGAGTGATGTGGGAGGGCCCAGCCCACTGTGGGTGGTGCCACCCCTGGGCAGGTGGGCCTGTGTTGCATAAGAAAGTAGGCTGAGCAGGGGCCAGGGGAGCAAGCCAGTAAGCAGCATTCCTCCATGGCCTGTGCTCCAGCTCCTGCCTCCAGGTTCCTGCCCTGAGTTCCTACCTTGGGCTCCCGGATGAACTGTGACCTGGGATATGTAAGCTAAATAAACCCTTTCCTCCCCAAGTTGGTAGTGGTCAGATTATTTTGTCACAGCAATGAAGAAACAAACCAGAACAGTGTATATGCATGCAGGTACCCTCGGAGACCAGAAGAGGACATTGGATCCCCTGGAGCTGGAGTTGCAGGTAGTTGTGAGCTGCTGCTGGACATGGGTTCTGGGAACCAAACTCTGGTCCCCTGGAAGAGCAGCAAGTGCTCATAACCATTGAACCATCTTTCCTTTCTTTCTTGATGGGGTACATAGCCCAAGCTGATCTGAAACTCTCTATGTCGACCAGGCTGGCCTCAAACTTGAGATCCTTCTGCCTCTGACTCCTCAGTGCTGGAAATGCCAAGAGTCCATGTATGCACCACAATGCACACTCACTTTATTTACAAATTCAATCCAGCGTTTATTCAGTCAGTGCCTAATATGTACCTAAGCACTGGGGAAATAAAAATGAGCAAGGCACGCAGTGAAATAAGGAAGACCCATCAGATAGGATCTTCTTTTCTTCTCACCTGCAGCAACTGGTAGGAGACAGGGACAGGGACAGGGACAAGGACTTGGAGTCAGGTAATCATTACAAAGGTAAGTTGCTCATTTGCAAACTGATGCTAACACTGAGCTCAAGCTTTGCTGTGAGGAATATGTGTTAGCATCCATGTTGTCCATATAGCAGCTGCTCGATAAATATTAGCTGAAGTGGATTAAAGTCTAGGAGGAAGCCATTAGCCAGCCCAAGGCTTCTGGAACTGAGGAAGGATGCCCAAAGCCTGGGCATATAAATGGTTCTTATTATCCCCACCCCCAACCCCTCTGCCTGTTTGCAGCAACATGAACCTGTCATGACAGGTTGAGAAGAGGGTAGAGGTAACTGAAGTGGGTTTGGAGTGCTTAAGCCAGATACTAGAACTTTAAGAAAATGGGGCCCAGCCTGATTAGCAGAGAAAACTGCTCCCTTCTCACAACTACTTTTATTGTTTTTTTTTTTTTTAAATTGTATTTAGGGGGATGGAGAGATGGCTCAGCAGTTAAGAACACTGGTTGTCCTTGGAGAAGACCTGGGTTCGAACCCCAGCACCCACATGGCCACTAACAACTGTCTGTAACTCCAGTCCCAGGAGATCCAACAGCCTCTTCTGACCTCTACGGGCCTTATACGATACGGGTGCACTTACATACCTGTAGGCAATACATGCATACACATAAAATAAAAATAATAAGATTTTTAAAAATTGTATCTATTTTTTAATTATTTTATGTGTATATATTGCATGGATGTTTGTAAGTGCACCTGTGTTGTGCAATGCCTGTGGAAGTCAAAAGAGGGTGTCAGATCCCCGGGAACTAGAGTTACAAACGGTTGTTAACTGTGGTAGTTGTTAGCTATGTGGGTGCTGGGAACTGAAACCAGGTCCTCTACAAGAGCAACAGTGCTCTTAACCTCTGAGCCATTTCTCTAGCCCCCTTTTTTGGTTTTTCTGAGATAGGGTCTCATGTAGCTTGGGCTGGCCTTAAGCTCACCATGTAGCCAAGGATGATCCTATGCTTCCACCTTCCAAGTGCTTGAATTATAGGCATGTGCCACTGTGCCCAGCTCCCAACAGCTACTTTCTTCTTGTCCCTGCTCAACAGTAGTCCAATTTGGGCCCAGCCACACGTTAGCGGGGTGCTGGGGGTGTTAATTCTTCAGCAAATATTTATTGAGCACTTACCTTGTGCCAAAACCCCACTCAAAGTGCTGAAAATACAGCAAATGAAGGAAACATAAAGATCCCTATCTTCAGATACAGAATGCAGGCCTGAAGAATAATTTGTTAAAAATGGAATTGCTGGAGCAAAGGGCAAGTGCATTTAAAATTTTTATTGATGTTGCCAAACTGACATAAAAAGAATTTAGAATTTATAGTAGTTTCTTTTCCACCTGGTTGTGTTTTCCCAGGAGTAGATTTTTTTTTTTTGAGACAAGTTCTCCCTGTAGCCCCAGCTGGCCTGGAACTCACTATGTCACTATGTAGACTAGGCTAGCCTCACAGAGATATGCTCGCTTCTGCCTCTTGAGTGCTGGGATTACCACAACCAGCTTTTTTTTAAGAGAAAGTCATTATGGGGCTGGAGAGATGGCTCAGAGGTTAAGAACATTGACTATTTTTGCAGAAGATCTGGGTTTGAATCCCAGCACCCACTTGGCAGCTAACAACTATCTGTAACTCCAGTTCCAGGGGATCCAACAGCCTCTTCTGTCCTCCAAGGGACATGATATGGGTACACTTACATGCATAACACTCATACACATAAAAATAACAAATAAAATAAAATATTTTTTTAAAAAGAGAAAGTCAGCTAGGTGTGGTGGTGCATGCTTGTAGTCCCAGCACCTGGGAGGCAGAGGCAGGCGGATCTCTGTGAGTTGAAGGCCAGCCTGGTCTACATAGTGAGTTCCAGGACAGCTCGGGCTACAGGGAGACCCTGCTTCAAAAAAAAAAAAAAAAAAAAAAAAAAAGAGTCTTATTATGTAGCTCAGGCTATCCTCAAACTATTGATCATCCTCAGATTGCTGACATTATTGGCTTATCTCACCACATTCTGCTAGAAGTATGTTGTGTTACAGGTGACTTTTTTTTTTTTTTTTTTTGATACAGGCAGGATTTTATTATGTAGCCCTGGCTGTCCTGAAACTCCCTATTCAAAGCAGAATACCCTCAAACTCACAGAGATCCATCTGCCTCCTTAAAAAAAAAATCTTTACTTATTTTTATCTTATGTTTATGAGTGTTTTGTCTGCATGTATAAGTGCACCATGTGTGCAGTGCCCAAGGAGGCCAGAAGAGGGCAC